AGGGAGCTGTTAGGGTTATTGTCCGCCCTTAATTCGGTAACATATTTTTGAATTGATTGAATGTCATGGTTGCTATGCTACACATAATCTACGGTCGTTTCCCACTGGTGCACAATCTTACCCATTCAGCCCATCTTTGCCATTCGGCAACTAAGGTTACCCAGTTCCGCAAGGTTATTCGCCCATGTCAACGTTGTTTTCCCTGGGGAGGCGAAATCCCAACAGCTGGAAGACATTTTGGGTCATTGAGGAGGCATCTGCCTCCACAAGGCAGATGACAAAATACGGCCTGGACACAGGGTGGTGAGAATTTTGAATGCGAATCGATAGCCAAGGCGCCAGAGTTCCATGCGCCTAGATTTCACCGGCTGCTTTTCAAGAGTTCAGATTTGTCGCAGTATTTTAGGCGGAAACGAATTCAGAACCTTCCAGTACTAACTGCCAACAATAATGTAAATAAAAAACAACAACAAAACTGGAGGTCCTGCTGTAAAAACTAAGTCAGAGAATAAAGGCCCTTCCGTGATATATTCCTTATCTGAGCCCTGCTTCCGTCCGCCGTCGGTGGCCACTGTCCTGACCCAGCTGTCCTCCGCATGACTGTGGACTGATCGTATGGCTGCTTTGCTGCATATTCATGGATCAGCATTACTACTAATTAGTGCGTAACACATACATTGGGCACCTGCAACAGTATTTTTTCCGAGTTATCTTCCCTTACACCACAACACCGCATACAAAAAAGCTAAGCTGACTCGGAAAGCTATCTGCCTTAGGCATGGGTTGGTCCAACGAACATTCAGTTAACCCTCACTCAACGTAACGTAACGACTTAATATCTTTTGTATGTAGGCAGGGACGTAGCCAGAACCTTGTCAAGCGGATACAGCGTTGACAAAACCACGCTGATGGTGACTTCGCTCCCCCCCCCCTTTCCAAAAGAATCGCGGAATTTATTTGTTGAAAAGGGACGCGGTTTTCTTCATTTTATTGTTAGTGTTACTTTAACAGAAGCAAGACGGTACGAAATAAATGATATTTTATTTTGAAGTCAATAAGCTGCAGAAATCAGGCGTTGAACAACTGCATGGGATAAATCACTGCCGCTGTCAATTGGCAATGGTTCAGTAGACTCTTTCTAAACCGTTACAATTCAGAAGCTATGTCAGCATTGCTTTCTCATTGTTTAAGGAAGATATGAGGACCTCGGAAAGGTAGATTTTAGATCGAAATCGGTCACCAATGTGTATTAACATGGCCAAGCCGTGTTTGTCTGGAATTTTTTACTATTCAAGCAGAATCGATTAGCGATAACAATTGTGCAATGTACTTTTGAGTGCGCGCGCTTGATAATCTTCGGAACAAAAACTTTGACGCCAAGTGTTGCAGTCTCCACAGGTCGCGTACAGTCGGCACCGTGACGTGGACGAAAATGATGACGCTTCTGAAGGAAGTGCCTTAAAACATTTTAATCGATTAGAGATATAACCAACGTAACGTAGTTTCGAACATGTGCGCTCGCAAATCTTGGCAACAAAAGTCATTACACCAGGCGTTACAGCCTCCTGAGGCCGTGCAACGTCGGCCCAGCGGGCTGTGGTCAATGGGCGGATGAAAATGATGACGCTCCTGACAGAAGTACCTTTGAATGCCTTAGGACATTAAATCTTATATTTAGAACGTCGTATGGGCGTATACTTCATTTGTCGGATGTTAAGATTGATGATAAGAACGAATTGGCCCTTACAGCACCGTGAATTTGTGCTGGAATCTGGTGGTGGAACTGGAAGAGTAAGGGTAGAATCCCTACTTTTCGTGTTGCTGTAGCTGTTAATCTTCAAAGAACCGATCAATCCGGCGTCCGCCGCCTGGTGTCACTTGCATTGGTCAACGCCTTTTGATTTTACGGAAGCTGTAACCCAGACCATTACTGTTCTTGCTCCCGAGATGGCGGCCGCGCATGTTCGGACTTTTTATATAATTTGTTTCACTAATCGATTCTGCAAAATAATGAACGTTCTCAGACAAACATGGGGTGGCTTTGTTCGTTTTTGAACGAACTTGAGTGGAACACTAGGGGCACATTAATGTTCTCGTTCAAGGGCTTAAGGGCCATTCTGTCCCATCGCGGGATGTCCTACAGCTGCTATTCTGGCGACACGGGGCGGGATACCTGGTCGATCCGGAGGCCCTTAAAGGGACACGTCATATCACATTGTTCCCCCTCCCTGACGCGAGAGGCCCTCTGACCCGCGCAGTGGGCCCTGAATCAACACAGGAACACTCGTTGACATAACAACATCCATGATTGCCGCAGGTGGTCCAATAATTGTCACATAGACTCCAGTTCCTGATTTGTTTTGTGTTGTTTAGACGCACTGAGGACCCCTTGAACGCAGATTGTAGATGGATATGGGGTCAAAAATTTGCATTGGCACGGCCGACACATGTTCGTCTTAAAATGCTGTGTTCAGTCAGAATTGACTCATGAAAAATTATGTCATGTCGTTTTGAACACGTGCGCTCGCGGATCTTAGCAACAACAGCCTCGATGCCTGGCGTTGCAGTATCCATGGGTCGCGCGGCATCGGCCCCGCGGCTGTGATACAGTACAATAGCCAATGGGCAAACGAAAAAGATAACACATACTGGGAAAGATGGTTGGTGAACTAGGCAAATCGGCATGTATGTTTAAGGTAGTACAAAACTAAACTAAACGCAACTTAAATCTGAAAAAGTGTGTATGTGTGTGTGTAAGTGGGGGGGGGGGGGCATTTAACATTGCTGGCCCTCCACCTTGAAACGTGGGGGCCATGGCCTCTCCTGCGCTCCCCCCCCCCCCCCTGTTCCTACACCCATACGACAGGTGATCGAGTCCAGCGAACCAAGTCGGCAAACCTACGCAAAAAGAAGGCAATGTTATTCCGACCAGCCCAAGCACTATCCGTCTCTGCCGTGATCCCAAAAAGTATACCATTCGATGAGGCGCAGTCTAATATCCCAGAAAAACACGCATGAAGGCGTGAATCGTGAACGTTTTCACCCACGGGTAAGCAGAGGAAAGATTTACCCAGTTTTGACTGTTGTCATGCCCCTCAAAAAAATTAACACCTCGCACACAATTATGGGCTTGGGTGACTGGCGGTTCGCGTCGCAATGTCAAAGATGTCACACGCTTACATACGTCCGGTATATCGACGTCTCCGTGTCAAATGGCGTGCTTTTCAATGCAGCCAAAATTCAGAAAGTTGTTTTTAATCGTGTCCACGGAGAAAAACAAAACAGATTTGACCCTTGCTGATCCTCTGGTCACGAACTATTAACTCCACGCTTTTCACGTTAATTTTACCCCGGTAAATGGACCACAGCGCTTCAATTGGTGTCATTTGTGCTGAGATCAAAGTGAGAAGAGGCGCATTTGCGACGTGTAAGCAGCTGAAAGGGAGCGTGTTGAGCTGAATTGACCTTTAAGTCATGACGGCCTAGAACCACATGTTGTGTAATGATTTGCCTCTGATAAATTAAATACGCTGCGTGTGGAATGCTTTCCTTTTTATTGCACTGGGACTGAAGAAAGGTGCTTGTTAAGTGTTAGCAAAAATCATACCCGCTACGCTCTGCAGACCACTTGGCCCGCAGAGCGAAACGGCGTGAATATTTGCATTTCACACTTTCCCCGCTCGTCTCCCTTTGGTAAACCGCCTACGCTTGTCGTCCAGCAAGGCTTCTTCCGAGATCCGACCGAGAACAATTTGATTTTGGGTATGGCAGGAGCTGGAGGTGAGCAATCGTAGACCTCGTTGATCTGTGGGTCAACGACATTCACGACCCTCATGGCCCATGTGTTTGGCGCCGGTAAATGGACGACACGTCAAATGGCGTGCTTATTGCAGGCGTCACAGGAAACATGGATTTTGAGTGTCTGCATCCCAGGACTTCAGTACCCGGTACCTGATAGCCGATATATTAAATACCTGGCCAAGTGACTGGCTCTTTAAAGTGGCCCAAGTGTGCAAGAGATTTTGCACTGTTTCTGCTGGTTGGGCCAGCATCTCCTTCCATTGGTGCCACTTGGCAAGCCCTAGGGTTTTAAAGCTTTATTCCAGCTTCAAAGAGTATATTCCCCCAATCTGTTAGCGGAGTAAAGGTGATTGTCCGTTTGTCTACTCACGTTTCTGCACGCTGCCTCTCTATAGGACTGCTGACCCTAATCAAGGTCCTGGTCAGGTACCGAATTCAGCTAGAAGCTGATATTGTCACGACACTTGTGGTATGGTACAGCAGTACACGCGAAGGAAACTACCGTACGCATAAACTTCCACAATGTGGGAGGCCAGCAAGGGTGGCAACGGCACGGTGCGAAACGGACGAATGGAACGTCCGTATTATGATGGCGAAAAGAAATTTGTCTGGAAAGCAGCGTACATAGGAAAGCAATTTACAGCCTGCATCGCAATACAACCCCTTAGCAGTCAAGTCACTGAAGCCCATAGGTATCACAATGGCTCAAGCAATGATGATCCTGGATCCTCGTCTACAGGTAACCTGGTCGCGCTTGTATTGCAACTGTTGCGACTCGCCCTGGACAACATCCACAAACGCCTATGGCATGTTTAACTGGGAGGTGGGCGGCAGTGTACAGAGAGAACTGCCCTAAGGCCGACAGGATTCACTTATTCATTCCTGACGACTCAGTGTGTAGCATAAACCAGCTATGCAATACTGACTGCCCTGACCCGACGTGTTCACCCATCCGATGTCTGAGAAGACTACCTTGATGTGGCGCCGTAGTCAGATCAAACCACTGCCAGAAGATCTGACCAAACGGATGCGTGGTGATGGCGCACTCATTGGTCACGTAAGGAGGGAACCAGTGCACGCGCACGGATCAACAAGAGCGCACACTGAACATAACCCTGACATCAGCCGTCGGCAGCATACAGCTGAGCCCAGAGTTCTGCTGCGCAACTGACTGGTACAACATAACTGAGCGGACTTACCTCGTCTGGGAGCGTGACACAGGACGACGTTACGATGGGCGGCCAGTGTGACGCTCCGCACGTGTCGCATGATCCGTCGCGCGTACCTCAACAGGCGCGTGACGGCGTCCGCTCACTGCACGGCCGGTCCTCCGCGCACCGGAGCACGTCACCACCCGCCGAGAGTCTGTCCCCGTAGACTGCCGCCTCTTCCCAGGCAGACAGCCGTGCCCGTGAACGCTCGCAGTTCACCACTGGAGCAGTCACGTGCCGCCCCGTCCGCGCAGAGCCAGCGCGTCGCGTTCCGCCGACCGCTCGCGGCTGAGTGTGGCGGGCGGCGGCGGGCGGCCTCATGTACCACCGCCCCGGAACTGGCGTCCGCCCAGGCCCCGCGCAGGTTCTGACAAGCGGCGGCCGCGGCGCGCGCCGTGCGGCGGGGCGTCGCTCGTGCTGGCACGCACGGCCGCGCAGGTGGTGTCGAGCCGCTGCGTGTCGGTACAGTGGCGACCTGTGTGCTCAGCATGTCGGAGTCGAGTAACAACCGATGACGTCGCACCGCGGCGCTGTGACTGACGGTGCCTCCATACGCCGTCCAAGTGGTGGCCGATGAAGGCAGCGGAAGTCGTTGTCTTGTGTCATGTTCGGAGCCGCCAGGGGTGCAGTTGGAGACTGCCCAGCGTGAGATACTTGGCGCGGGCCCGTTCCGTGGCTAGGTCAGGCAGGAACGCTGCTCAGCAGAGAAAACACACTCATCCTGATGTTCTCATATTTTCATGGGTTGGGTTCTTACGGGGTTTCGGATCTTAATTTTTTCAAGAGGTGCAGAGATTGAATTGATTTGAAAAAAATGCGTTCATAAACATGGTATAAATAATGTGCCAAATTGTTGACCCCAAAAAATGATATGTACAGACCTGCCCTTTTATACGAGCACCGGCAGCGGTAAGACACTGTCCTATAGCCCACGATTTCAGTGCGACTCGCTTTAAGTGACCAAAGACAGCCTCATTATCACTAGAACTGGGTTCCGTCAACGACCTTTGTTTTCGTTCCCTTGTTGTGGCTCCCTCTTTGTGGGGATTTATGGACCCTACCAGACAATGGGTCGGCGAAGCCTACCACTAGAGGAATCGGAACGGAGACCGACTGGAGCATAGAGGGTCTGGACCAGGGTCAGGACGTGGGTGGGTCAGAATCTCTGACGCGCATGCGCAAGCTGCGAGCATTTACCAGCGAGCTGCAGGCGCCGCCTACTTAAGCAGTTCGCTTCAATTTCGTGACGTATTTGGGGTCCCTGATGTTGGAATCGGGAAGACTGGATGGGCGGGGCCACTAGATGCCGTACTGGGCGGGGCCGGCCTGAGTGGGCGGGGCCTGGATCGTCGGCAGTCAACAACCTCTGCGTGAGAAGACAGCCTCGGGGATCCAGAGTTCAGTGCTCCGTACGAATGGCGAGGAGATTACGTTCATGCCGCGGCCGGCCATGCCGCGGCCGCGAATGAAGTTAACCCTGCTCAACCACTACTCGGTCATCACTTTGCAAGGCTGTGTTCGGTTCTTATTTGGGAACTTATTTGGGAACTTATTTGGGAAAGGGAACTATGTTAAACGGACCCTCATCGACACATTGCCCCACAGCTACACTTTGGCCTATCTCTAAAAGTTAAGTGAATTATCTTTTCCTAAAAAGAGTGAGGAGAAAATATGATAAAAAATTTCTAACTGGACAGGTCTTGATCAGCTGAATTATTTGGACTCTTGTTTTTATCGGCCCTGAAGCTGTGATGTAAGCCACTGAAAGAAACACATAATGGGAGTGCCACTTGGTGGCACCTATCTGCCAGTAAGCCCTTGTTTGCAGTTAAAGCCTCGCTGAATTTTTGCAGCATGAAGAGAATGGCTGAAAAAAATTACAATAATCAAGGCAGTTTAAAATTGCATATACACTTATCTATGTACGTTCCGGACAGTTGCACCTCGTCAACTGTCTTCTCGACGCTGAGCCATTGCACTGTTCGGCGCGTTGCGCTGCTCAGCATGTTTAACTGCGATGATGCGCCAGGCCTCGATTTCCTAGGTCACTCGGATGATCACTGGCCACCACTCTGCAAATGGTTAGTGTCCACAGCTCGTTGCCGCGAGCGGCGACGCTGTGGTGTGGGTACCCGAACTAAGGCATCGACCGCCCTGCACATACTGAGCAGCACCGCGTCACCGGAAAATAGCACTGCGTCGTAGCGTGCCGCAACACAACCAAAGTATGCCGCCAATTTTGCATGTTCCACAGCAGCAACCTTTTGACAACCCTTATTTCTTTCATGAATGGCCCCCAAAGCTGCCGTGCCTCACCGACATACCTAGTGCGTGGCCCACTTGTGCCCTACATAACCTAACAGACCTATCAGTCCATGAGAGTACCGAAAAGTACGACCGTTAAACATCTTCGCTTGCCGACGTCGAAACACAACCCAACTAGGCACTAACGATGTCCTGACAATCGTTTCAGCTAAACACTGACACGAACGTTCCGGACAGTTGCACTCCCGGCAGACGTATCTGCGACGCTGAGCCATTGCACTGCTCGGTGCGTTGCGCTACTCAGTATGTTTAGCTGCGATGTTGCACGGGGCTTCGATTTCCCAGGTCACTCGGATGATCACTGGTCACCACTCTACGAATGGTCAGCGTCCACAATTCGTTGCCGCGAGCGGCGACGCTGTGGTGCGGGTGCCCAAAACAAAAGATCAACCGCCCTGCGCATGCCACTCCCAGTCAACAGAAAATGGCGTCGCGACGTCAATGCGAGAAAAAGGGTGACATCTAGGAACGACTCAACGTACTAGCATTCATTATTACATTCACGAGATGGCGCACAGCATAACATTCGGCCAATGGGAGGGGCCGTCCGACTCTTTATGCCTCTTCCTCAAGGTCGTAAGAGACCAGTACTCCTGGGATGGCTTTTCACTTGGGTGAAAGCCACGGGCGTCGATTTGTATTCTCTTGTGAGGGCCCTGCCCCCCCCCCCATGTTGAGTTACCCCCATGTTGGCTTCCTCCCCCCAATATTTTTGGCTGGAATGCTACCAAAAACATGGGTAAAAGATGATCATGACATAAAGACTACCTTATTTGATTTTTCTGCGTAGTGGCGTCTCGTACCACTCTCATAGCAAAAAGTCATGGCTGCTCTCACCACGGCGTAAGAATCGTAACAGCTGAACGGATAAACGATGCAATAAACTTCACACACCTTGCGCCATAAGACAAGAAGTGTATATTGAGGTTAAAGTGAAAAGCTCTGGAATATGGGGATGACCTAAGTTCCTCACGGCTAACCCCATCCCCGTTCCCCACAACCAAAATGCGTGCCGCCTCCCATGACCGCCATAGAAGAGCGCCATCGACGCTCCAATGTGGCCTATAAGGGAGCGCCTTCACGTGCCGATCAGAAGAGCCGTCTGCGTCCAGTGCCTGCCCCCTGGATCCAACCCTGTATGACTTCTATATCGCTTAAATCAAAGACTTCTAAATTATACAAAGACAAAGCATATGGCATTGCGTTTAGTCAAAATAAAGTGGGCTATATCTGGTGAGAACAAAAGGGGGCACGTTGTCGGGCCTTCGGTTCGGCCCCCCCCAAAAATACAAAAAATTACACCCCTGTATAAGCAGTGAAAGCATGTCACTTTTACAGGGACGTACAATAATTATATCATTGTCCACAAGTTTAAGGTCACAAGACGTGGTTGGAGCATATGACATTGGATTGCTTACTAACTGTTCTCCATTTATTCCTCTTTTTCAGGCCCGAGTTACCGTCCTGCTGGTTTGGTATCCTGCCCAAGTACAAGTATTTCCTAATTCCAGACTTGCTCACCATCCTTTGACCACTGAAGACCACATGGCCATAGTGCGGTAGTTACTCGTGATCGTCCGCGATGCTTGTTTTTTGAAGTGATAGAAAATGCATCTCAGGTGCCAGGTCACTTTTAAAGACTTCTCTCAGCCTGGCTGTAAAGAGTACACCGGGGCTGCAGTTTCCTATTCGGTAGTGTCCACTAATCCAGTAGTCTCATGTCTGTAGTATTCTATTTCCCCTCCATGTTGGACTCAAGCCCCTCAACTTTGGGAAGACAGTGAGCCCAATCTGGGAAGGAGCCTGTTTGTTGGAATATTTGGGGGGAGATTAGATCATTTTTCACTGTTCAGCCCTCCCCCTTCCCACCCAATTTCATGCTTAGACACCATGCCCCTGGAGCACACTTCACACCGACGAAACCAAGTTTGCAAGATCTCACCATAGCACAAGCTGAGGAAGCCAATTTTCCACAGCATGGTATAGAATTCTAGGGAGCTGGGCCTATTTACAAGTTTTCTTATTCAATGTACGTAGAACGAGCAAGTTGCATCCACTGGGCGTTTCTCATACCACCAACAAATTTTAACCCATGTCATGTGCCGAGTTTTGCTCATCATCTTTGCCAAAATACTTCCACAATGTATATACCGCAATGCGGCACTCATGCCTCATTGGGCCTGTGTTGAGGCCAAAGCTGCCGAAAGGTGGCAGCTTTGCCGGATGTTGGATTAGTCTGGATGGAAGTGGTCAAATTGCAATCTGGGGAAACAATCAAGTATGAAATGACATTTTGAATGAACAATGTGCAAAACGTGCAACGGAGCATACGAGCGTTCAATCAGCCTGGCGAATCTTTAAAAAATTATAAGCCGTTGTAATTAAAGAGAGCAAAAAGGCAACAAAGCATATAGCGGAAGTGGCAATATGAGAGAATCATTGGTTACAGGGCAAATACATATGACATACAATTCTGCTGAAAATACCAAAATTACGCTTACAATGCATGCACTTAATAGTATTACTGACGGGATACTGACATGGTTCGTGAAATATCTGTGGTTCTATGTTTCTCCGTGTACCATCTACAAGACCGAGACATCGCCAGCATACGGCAAACAAGACATTTCAGTGATAACTGCGGTCGTTTCAGGTGATTCGGGTCGCTGCTGTTGATAAGTTTCGTGATCAAATAGCCATCCCTCAACCATACAAAAGCTCATTCCCAGACCAAAGCTACCAGCACCGAACAACCGCCTCCCCACCTATCTGCCTACCAGGCATCAAGCTTAGCTTGCCACCTGAAGGATATATCAAGCCAGTTAGCTTCACTTCAGCTCCATTTCAGGCTCATTTCCCCACCATCAAGCCACTTTCATGGCCAGAGGTCTCCCCACCGTACCGTACAGCTGTCCCGGAATGTGAGGATTCAATCACATGCACACAACGCCTACCAGCGGCGGCCCCGGCTCGGC